AAACCCTGACATACGTACGTCCAGAAATATGAATATATTTAAACGAAAGATGAAGTCTAAATTGATACAGACACCTAAGGTGGCGTAGCTAGGCATTTTTTTAAGTGTACGCCCGAACTTCGAAGAGGCGCCTAGTGGCCGCAACATACCCCAGCGTGTCCGTGACAGAGCTAGTGTACACGGGTTCCAGAGATCGAAGCCCCCACGAAGCTCACTCGTTATCAAGAAAGATATACCGGTATCATCTTTTAAAAAATCATCAAAAGCAACATTCTTCGGAGACATATTTGTTTATTTCTTATCTTTACTGTATGCAAAGTAAAGTACAAGAGACTACCATAGATTTGTTATTAATCCCAAAATGCTTGATGGGTACAAATGCAGTATTCAGGAGTTACATTTTTGCATTAAACCACATGTCAACAGAAATTAAAAAAACTAAGCCTGGAAGTATTACTATGACACTGATTTTTCCTGTTCTATGTAGCTTTCTTACTGGCAAAAATGAAAATAGATTTCATAAATGCTGTCAGGTACCGACCATTGAAAAACAATCGATCTGTTTAAAAAAAGAAATGAAAATAACTGTTTTTTTTGGCAAATTAGTAAAATGACCGTTTGATTTAAAATCATTTAAAATTAATTTGAAATAGATTAATGATAATAATTTATTTACATGTGAAAAAGCTAGACTTTGTGGCGTAGCGATGTGATTGAGTGGTTTTGTGTACAATTATTTCCTATTATTTTGGCAGTGAAAATCTGCAAGTATTTCATTATGTTGTTTGATTTACACATTATAACAAAACTAAGAATATGACGGATAAATTTATAGTTAGCTGTTAAACGTCCAGTGGCAACTATTAGATGTATTTATTAGGAGGACATTTAAAATGTTATAAATATGAACAAGAACATCCTTTGTTATGCAAACATGTGTATCACGGCACAAGCGATGACCTATAGACCCTGTGTAGCATATGTATATTTAGGGTGGGTTGCTACGAATAAAGGGAATACAGATACAGGAAAATAAAGTAAAAAATATAAAACAAGAATAGAGTATAACGTGCAAAATAAAGAATAGAGGAAAATGGTCTTAGAAAATTGAAGAATAGAGGGAAACGGTCTATTTTTTGTTGTTGTTAGAAAATACAAAAATGAAGATGCTCAATTATAATTTCACTTAAGAATTAGAATTTTTTTTCGACTGATTTGATAGATGAATAAAAATATATCTATAATCTAAAAAAAAAAGTTAAATTACGATATATAGATGAAACAGTTATTCAGTCGATGTTTAAATACATGCGATAAAAGAGAATATATAAATATGATTAACAAATTTTTTGAACAAAAGGCAAACCTTAAGACTCCGAATATACTTTTGTACGAACATTAGATTAATTCCGAATTCCGTCTAAAATACATTGTTCATTTAGGTCAAAAGAATGTTAATTCCTTAGGCTATTTTCAAAATATGTATACTGAAAACCCTGCAGACTGCAGTTTACCCACACATTCACCAAGTACGTATTTCCACGGCTAACAAAATTCATAATCGTATCTTTTAATTTGTTTAAATTTATTTCAGTGTTTATTTTTCAAACTGTTTATGTAAATAATTTTGGATCAACATCGAGTCAAATTAAATTATAATTTGTTAGATGATTTATTAAAAACTGAAATATGCATCCAATCTAAATGTTACGCCTATGATCATCTTTATAAAAAGATTTAACAGAACACAATTCATGTTTTATATATTTAAAAAAACAATATACGATAAACGAAACTATGTACGCCAAGAAACGATGTACGGTAAACGATACGATATACCCTAAACGAAACGATGTACGCTAAACGATACGATATACGCTAAACGAAACGATGTACGCTAAACGATACGATATACGCTAAACGAAAAGATTTACGCAAAACCATACGATGTACGATATAAGGGTGCTTATGTTATCGTTTATGGTATGGTTTATGGTACATGGTTTCGTTCGTACATCATTCGTTCAGCGTTCGTACAACGTTCGGTCAGCGTTTCGTTTGCATTCGTACACCGTTCGGGAAGCGTACGTACATCGTTCGGGCATCGTCCGTACATGATTCGGGCATCGTTCGTATTGTTAACTTTTACGTTACACGGACTGTACATAATGACCTATGATTCAGTAAGATCAATATATTACTAAGATAGCTGTATATAGTAAGATTAAAATCCTAGTTGATTTGAAAAAGTTATCAAAAAAATTAAAAGTGTACTATCTCTATTTTGTCTGAACTGCAAATCCTAGCTTTTTGGACCTAGATTAATTTAAATCTTAAATTTGACAGCAATACACCAAACTTCTTAACAACCTGGGATTCAGTAAGATTAATATATACTACCAAGGTAGTTGTATAATTAGATGAAAATCTGAGTTGATTTGAAAAAGTTATAAAAAGAATTAAAGTGTACTATCTGAATATAGTCCGAACTGCAAATTCAATCTTTTTTTTACCTAGATTAATTTAATTCTTAAATTTGACAGCAAAACACCAAACTACATAATAACCTGTGATTCAGTAAGATCAATATATTACTAATATAGCTGCATAGTTTGATGAAAATCCAAGTTGATTTGAAAAAGTTATCAAAAAAATCAAAGTGTACTATCTGAATTTTGTCCAAATGTGCAAATCCTAGCTTTTTTGACCTAGATTAAATTTGACAGCAATACACCAAACTACATAATGACCTTCGATTCAGTAAGATCAATATATTAACAAGGTAGCTGTATAGTTTGATGAAAATCCAAGTTGATTTGAAAAAGTTATAAAAAGATTTAAAGTGTACTATCTGAATATAGTCCGAACTGCAAATTCAAGCTTTTTTTACCTAGATTAATTTAATCCTTAAATTTGACAGCAATACACCAAACTACATAATGACCTATGATACAGTAAGATCAATATATTACTAAGATAGCTGTATAGTTTGATGAAAATCCTAGTTGATTTGAAAAAGTTATCAAAAAAATTAAAGTGTACTATCTCTATTTTGTCCAAACTGCAAATCCTAGCTTTTTTGACCTAGATTAAATTTGACAGCAATACACCAAACTTCTTAACAACCTGGGATCCAGTAAGATTAATATATTACCAAGGTAGCTGTATAGTTCGATGAAAATCTAAGTTGATTTAAAAAAATTATAAAAAGAATTAAAGTGTACTATCTGAATATAGTCCAAACTGCAAATTCAAGCTTTTTTTACCTAGATTAATTTAATCCTTAAATTTGACAGCAAAACACTAAACTACATAATGACCTATGATTCAGTAAGATCAATATATTACTAAGATAGCTGTATAGTAAGATTAAAATCCTAGTTGATTTGAAAAAGTTATCAAAAAAATTAAAAGTGTACTATCTCTATTTTGTCTGAACTGCAAATCCTAGCTTTTTGGACCTAGATTAATTTAAATCTTAAATTTGACAGCAATACACCAAACTTCTTAACAACCTGGGATTCAGTAAGATTAATATATACTACCAAGGTAGTTGTATAATTAGATGAAAATCTGAGTTGATTTGAAAAAGTTATAAAAAGAATTAAAGTGTACTATCTGAATATAGTCCGAACTGCAAATTCAATCTTTTTTTTACCTAGATTAATTTAATTCTTAAATTTGACAGCAAAACACCAAACTACATAATAACCTGTGATTCAGTAAGATCAATATATTACTAATATAGCTGCATAGTTTGATGAAAATCCAAGTTGATTTGAAAAAGTTATCAAAAAAATCAAAGTGTACTATCTGAATTTTGTCCAAATGTGCAAATCCTAGCTTTTTTGACCTAGATTAAATTTGACAGCAATACACCAAACTACATAATGACCTTCGATTCAGTAAGATCAATATATTAACAAGGTAGCTGTATAGTTTGATGAAAATCCAAGTTGATTTGAAAAAGTTATAAAAAGATTTAAAGTGTACTATCTGAATATAGTCCGAACTGCAAATTCAAGCTTTTTTTACCTAGATTAATTTAATCCTTAAATTTGACAGCAATACACCAAACTACATAATGACCTATGATACAGTAAGATCAATATATTACTAAGATAGCTGTATAGTTTGATGAAAATCCTAGTTGATTTGAAAAAGTTATCAAAAAAATTAAAGATGCCTATCTGAATTTAATTTTTTTTTTTTACCTATTAATTAAATTCTTTCATTTCACAGCAATGAATCAAACTAACAAATAAACTGGAATTTTGTAAGATCTTTATTTAATTTAGTTAGATGGGCTGATTTATACCAGTGAAGACTAAATTTGAAGGTTCAGACTAGTCGAGACAGGTCGAGACTGGTTAAGACTGAGTCGAGACTAGTCAAGACAGGTTGAGACTGGTTGAGCCTTGGTCGAGACCATTTCAGACTACACCAAGATCATCAAGTACTGAATCAGACTAATTAAGTAAAGTCGAGACCTAGTCAAGTACAATTAAGTACAGTAAAGTACTGTGGAGAAACTGTCCTAAAGGAACTACAAGTTCATCCAAAAGCAAGTCCTGTAAAATTCATTTTAAGAAACAAAAGGAAATATCCTGGTCAAAGGAGGGATATCCTATCTACAGAATACATCATGTATTATACAACAGATTTCTCACTCTGAATAGAAAACACCAGATAAATACACTTTTTGATGAATTCAGCAATAAAAAGGATTTATAAAATTTTTGTCAGACAGTTTTTATTAGTAGATGAAGCCGGTGTACTTAGAAAGAACCATAAACCATCAGCAAGAAAACTGGCAATCTTCGTCAATGGGAATTACAGTCAAACCCACCATCCTACAGCGGGGTATCGAACTCACAACCTTAATGTTTACAGGCTAGTGACCACTTGACCCACTTGGCCACTGAGCCTCTCCCCCCATTGAAATACAAAAAAAATGTGTATCTTATCAATCTACAATATACAAATAACAAACAACTTACTGGTACACTCCCAGTCCAATCTTAAAGATGGAGGACTTTGGGTTCTTGCCAATGATCCTAAATCCTTCAATTATCCCTACTACACCTTGATATAGCTGATCACCCATTACTGGTAATTTTACATTGATCAATTCGTCTAGTTTCTACAATAAAATGCATTCTTCAGTACTAATAATTAGTAATATCTCATTTACAGTGTTATTAATTTTAATAGGTATGGACTGACTGTATACATTTACAATTTATAAATACACAAACAAATTCACATGTTTATTGGACTTATGGTGTGCAATGTTTATAAACTTCCTGTGTCCCATTTCTCTGTTATATTAGGAAATCTAAAGATAAGAAAATCTTTAATGATGACTCAGTCAATTTAACCACCAAAAAATTTCTATATAAATCCTCTTTAAACCAAACTTGTCTGTCCCAATTCAGAAGCCTGTAGTTCAGTGGTTGTCATTGATTCATGACGGTCTTATTTGTTTTTTTGTAAATTGTTTGTTATGAATTTAGCCGTTAATTTTCTAGATTGAATTGTTTCATATCCTTTATGTCGGTGCCTTTTATAGCCAACTATACTGGTTTTTCTCATTGTTGAAGGCATTACAGTTGCCTATAATTGTTAACATCCACTTCATTTGAACTTTAATGAATAGTTGTCTCATTGGTAATCATACCATATCTCCTTATTTTCATATTGACACTGATATAAGGCTAGTTAATAAAGCACACATTATGAACAGTTTTCAATACTAAGGTTCAAAATGAGAATTAAGTCTTTACAATGTACTTACATTATAAAATGTCATGACATCGGTCTTGATGTCATTAAATAGTTTCTCTACTCTGTGAACGAGGTTCTTTACTGGTTTCATGAATGCAGGTAGCTGACTTTCATCATACTTGCCTATTGCTTCAACTGCTTTTTTAGCTCTTGAACGAAGATCAGCAACCTAATTGCAGACAAAAAAAGTCTAAATCAGATATAAAAAAATGAAGGTACATCCAAGTCTGTATTTAAATCATTGAGACAAATATATGTTATACACTAAAAATTCAATCCGTTGAAATGGGAAGATTCATTAAAATTTAAATCCGATCAGAATGTGCTTTGGTCCTTATCAATGTCAATTAAAAGTACATACATGGTTTCATAACACCTGTTCATGGGTCCCTTAACTTGAAAATTGTGGTTTCATTTATTTTCATGTGCACCAATCTTTCATGGATTGAGTTTAACATGTATTTTCTTGGATATTTGATGTCATCAGTGGCGGATCCAGAAATTTTCATAAGGGGGAGGGGAGGGGGCCACTGAGTGCCATAAGAGGGGGCCCGCTCCAGTCATGCTTCAGTGGTCCCTAAAAAATCAACCAAATTTTTCCCACAAAAGGAGGAGCATGGGCTTTTGTTGAACAATGGACATCGGAGCTTACAATTTTTCACAATAAAAAACAAAAAAAACCATTTTATACCTTCTATTTCTACGTCAGTTTTTAGCATTATCAATATTAATTATGTTTCTAAATCAAAGAAATAGCGGTGAGAACAGTCAGAATGTATGAAACTTTTTCTTTGCTATTTTGGGTTCGTCATATAAGTAACTAAGCCTTGAAGGCCAAACAGACAAAAAAGATTTGAGTAATCATAGATTGTTACTTTGTGTTTGTTGGCTTTTATCTTTTTGCTTGCTTTATTAAAATAAGGAGATGTGGTATGATTGCCAATGAGACAACTATCCACAAGAGTTTTGTGCCGATTTGGGGAGCAAAGTCCTTTCCAGCTGATTTTTAGTTTTATTTTATGCTGTGTTGTTACATAATGGTCTCAGAATAGGGGAATTTTGGGCGCTTGAACCCAGCCACATTGTATTTGATTGCCCAAAGTCATGTCACATTACGAAATGTCTACTTTAAAAAATAGAAAACAAATTTTTAAATATTCCTAGAAAAGCCCTACTTTGATATAAAAGGTCACAGAAGATAAGCCGTTGAAATTAAGTTATCATAACAATGCAGTATCAACAATAGAGACTATATTCACTAATGTTTAACCTTTTGTGGAAGTGATTCCAAAGCAGCTATAAAGTCGTCTATAATGCCTTTAATTCCTTTTCCACTGATGATTTCTTTAAACAGGTCTACACCTGACTTAATACCATTCACAATATCTTTTATCACTTTATCAAAACTAAGAATCATTTTAATGAACTGTTTCCCATTTCCTTCCTGTAAAATATAAGGTAATAAACTGTTAACACAGAGATATGTCTCGCCTATTTGTTATTTTGATAATGCAAATGTTGAAATTAAAATAGCAATACTTTAACATGTAAGTTATGCAAATATTCAAAGTCGATGAACCATGACTGATGGTACAGGGCTAAACAATATCCATGGAAATGAGATGTGCCAATGTTAATACAACTGCAAACCAAATACCATTGTCTTTTCGTAAGTCGTTCCCTTTAAACAAACCTAAACACAAACATTAACTTGTAAACTAGGTAAAAGTTTCAAAGTCAATGAACCATAATTAGGGGGTTGGGTTAAATAATCTCCATGGAAATGAAACTTGCAAATGCCATTACATTTGCATACGAATATCATTGACTTTACATTAGTGGCTCATCTTAAACTGACCTAATCACAAACTAATACATAAAAACTTAGCAAAAGTTTCAAAGTCAATAGACCATGAATGAGGAGGCGGGCCAAATAATCTCGATGGAAATGAGATATGCCAATGCTTATACAACTGCATACCAAATATCATTGACCTATCACTAGTGGTTCCCCATTAACTGACCTTATCACAAACTAATACATGAAAACTAAGCAAAGTTTCAAAGTCAATAGACCTTGACTGAGGGGGCGGGGCCAAATAATCTCCATGGTAATGAGATGTGCCAATGCTAATACAACTGCATACCAAATATCACTGACCTACCACTAGTGGTTCACCATGAACTAGACCTAATCACACAAATTAATACATTGTTGATACTGCCGCCCCGCCGATGCCGGAAACAGCATACCTATGTCTCGCTTTTTGACTCTGTCAAGGTGAGACAAAAACAAATATTTTTAATCAACTGTTTTAATAGATGTACCAATAAATTTTGTTCAATATCTTTTTACAGTAATATAGAATTTAATCATAAACTAGAGGCTCCAAAGAACCTGCATCTCTCATGAGGTATCTTTAGTGTTACAGTGACTAATATTTCTTTTCTATCTGAATTGGTCACCTTGAAAATTTACCTCCTTATTGATTAAAAGAAAATAACTGTGCCAAATTAAGCTACAGATGGTTGTGTTTAAATCAATTTTTTTAAGGCTCTCATTTTTGCAAGTCCTGGTCTGCAATTCCCATATCTTTCACATGGAATGCATTTTAATGTCCAAAAAATGCTTTCAGACATCAGAACATTCTTTGACTTTCCAAAGCCACTATTCAACTAATGAATAACTGACATCACCACATTATATTCTATAATGGCTAATAAAAAAATCTATTATCTTAAATGACATTTTTTAATAGTTATAATTATATGAAAATGTGGTCAAACTCAAATAAGGTATGCAACCAATCATTATTCAATTATAATCCAAGCATCAGCTGGCTTTTTGTAGAAAAAAAACCAGATGTTCAGTTGAAAATTATTCTGTTCTTCAACTAACCCTGGTCTAAACTTAGTACTGACCTGAAATATGTTGAAATTGTATGATGTATCTCCCTTATAACACAGTCTGGCAACAAAAAATGGAATATTGATTCCAATCATTCCCACATGGACTATGGCATAGGCTTCATCATGTGCACTCACTTTAAAATGGCCACTCAAAGGAGCTGTTTAAAAAAATTAACAAATGTAAAAATATGTGAAAAATTGAGGGTTTTTTTCAGGTGGAAAAGGTGTAGATGAATAAGAAATTACTTTTTCATTTTTTCTTTTGCTTATTTTGACTTTTTGTACAGGAAAAGTGGAAGGGATAAACAGTGCATAAGAAGATTCAAAATGGAACAAAAAGTATGTTTTTGATAAGCCCCGAATTCAGCCCCTTTTTATTTCTTAATTTTTCAATTAGGAATAATTAGCCATTATCACGATATAGCATAGCTTTAACAATGAATAGATAGGAGACATGTATTTTTGTTTTGAAATTTATTTATCAGCATTCTTTTTATGACTTTATAAATAGCATTTACCGTAATTTTCAACAAAATATAATGAAAACATGCAAATTTCAATAGGTTTTGGGGAATGGAAACAAATACATAGCCCATGTGTCCACAAAAAAGATTTTTTAAGATAAAGTTAATTTAAAAAAATGAACTATTTGATGTGAGTCTTTGGTTTGTTGAACACTGCATCCCATGTTTCCTTGGCCTAATTGTGGCTGAAATCCAGAAGATTTTGTTGATTTTCACATAAATCGCTTTTTTCATCCTAATTGGTACACATAAAACTGACTAAGCTTAGTATGAAAACTTGAGAAAATTATCTAAATACTTTCCATCTTGAAATAAAGAATTTAACATTTGTGGCCAAAGAGGGACCTTACCAAACCTACTCTTTCGATATCTTCAGTAAAAAGTCATTTTGTGAATACTTCATGAAAATCAACAAAATTCTGACAAAATGCGTACTTCCGAAAGTGATAAAATAAACTGCAAAATAAAAACTTTCTATCATGAAAACTTTACTAAGGTGACAAAATATCCATAAATCAAAGCACGAAAGCGCTGTAAAGGCAGTTAATTACAGGTTGTGTGTATTTTAAGTCCAGTTATATCATTATCTTGCATAGTACAGTGTACTTATCAGAGGTGGCTTTCAGTATTTAAGATTTAGAGTTCTCTAATGATATTGAATAAGTTTTATGAATGTCATATTCTGAGCACTATATGAAGGCGATTGTTCTCACTTGTTTATGAACTAGTGCATTATGTCCAGTTTGTACCTTTTTTATCTATGTTTTATAGTCAAATTAGTTATCAAAGGTACCAGGATTATAATTTAATACGCCAGACGTGTGTTTCGTCTACATAAGACTCATCAGTGACGTTCAGATCAAAATAGTAACAAAGCCAAACAAGTACAAAGTTGAAGAGCATTGAGGACCCAAAATTCCAAAAAGTTGTGCCAAATACGGCTAAGGAAATCTATTCCTTGGATAAGAAAATCCTTAGTTTTTTCATTGGCAATCATAACACATCTCCTTATTTATATAATGATCTATATTCAACGACCTCAGGTACAAAAAAAATGTATGTAACTAAACTATGATGGGAAACCTTTGACTTCTTTCTTTATAGAAACTTTTGATTTGGTACCATAGAACTATGTAGAGTAAATGTACATTGCAACATGTCAACTCTTTCAACTCCAAGCAAAATTATATTTCCAAGCATAAAGTAATTTATGAATGAAATAAAATGCTCCGCTGGGGCGCAGCTTGATACGACCTCAGAGGTCGAACCCTGAACAGTTGGGGCAAGTATGAACACAACATTCAAGCTTGATTCAGCACTGAATTTGGATTGTAATTAAATATTTGACACAGCATAGGTTTCTGACACAGAATGAAAGTGGTCTAAGATACTTAAAAAAATTTAATTTACCTATTCAAACCATATCATTATTATTTGCTTTTATATATAAATCAGAAATAACCAATTTAAAATGGAAAATTTTAAAGAAAAAAAAGGAAAAAGAATCCCCCCCCCCCCAATTTTTTGAACCCCCTTATGATTCATCACCCCAAAACTCAATCCCAGCCTTCCCTTTGTGGTATGGTACCTTGCAGTACAATTTCAGAGAGATTCATACACTTGAACACATGTTATTGTCTGGAAACTAGAAAAATGCTTGTTTTTTGGTCCCTTTTTGGTCACAAATTCCTAAACGTTTAGGGCAATTACCCCCAAACTCAAACTCAGCTTTCCCTTTGTGATATGGAACATTGTAGTACAATTTCATAAAGATCCATACACTTACACACAAGTTATTGCCATGAAACTAGAAAAATGCTTGTTTTTTGCCCCTTTTTGGCCCCTAATTTCTAAAATTTGGAGGCAATTACCCCCAAAATCAATCCCAGCATTCCTTTTGTGATATGGAACCATGTGATACAATGTTAGAGAGATCCATACACTTACACACATGTTATTGTCTGGAAACTAGAAAAATGCTTGTTTTTTGGTTCCTTTTTGGTCCCAAATTCCTAAAATTTGGAGGCAATTACCCCAAAAATCAATCCCAGCATTCCCTTTGTGGTATGGTACCTTGCAGTACAATTTCAGAGAGATCCATACACTTGAACACAAGTTATTGTCTGGAAACTAGAAAAATGCTTATTTTTGGCCCCTTATTCCTAAACTTTTTGGGCAATTACCCCAAAACTCAATTCCAGCTTTCCCTTTGTGATATGGAACCTTGTAGTACAATTTCATAAAGATCCATACACTTACACATAAGTTATTGCCATGAAACTAGAAAAATGCTTGTTTTTTGCCCCTTTTTGGCCCCTAATTCCTAAAATTTGGAGGCAATTACCCCCAAATTCAATCCCAGCATTCCCTTTGTGATATGGAACCTTGTGATACAATGTCAGAGAGATCCATAGACTTGCACACAAGTTATTGTCATGAAACTAGAAAAATACTTGTTTTTTGCCCCTTTTTGGCCCCTAATTCCTAAAATTTGGAGGCAATTACCCCCAAAAATCAATCCCAGCATTCCCTTTGTGATATGGAACCTTGTGGTACAATGTCAGAGAGATCCATACACTTGAACACAAGTTATTGTCTGGAAACTAGAAAAATGCTTATTTTTGGCCCCTTATTCCTAAACTTTTTAGGCAATTACCCCCAAACTCAATTCCAGCTTTCCCTTTGTGATATGGAACCTTGTAGTACAATTTCATAAAGATCCATACACTTACACACAAGTTATTGCCATGAAACTAGAAAAATGCTGGTTTTTTGCCCCTTTTTGGCCCCTAATTCCTAAAATTTGGAGGCAATTACCCCCAAATTCAATCCCAGCATTCCCTTTGTGATATGAAACCTTGTGATACAATGTCAGAGAGATCCATAGACTTGCACATAAGTTATTGTCATGAAACTAGAAAAATGCTTGTTTTTTGCCCCTTTTTGGCCCCTAATTCCTAAAATTTGGAGGCAATTACCCCCAAAAATCAATCCCAGCATTCCCTTTGTGATATGGAACCTTGTGGTACAATGTCAGAGAGATCCATACACTTACACACAAGTTATGTCTGGAAGTTACAAAAATGCTTATTTTTGGCCCCTAATTCCTTAACTGTTGGTACCATAACCCCCAAAATCAATCCCCACTTTCCCTTTGTGGTATTGAACCTATTTTAAAATTTCATTGAGATCCATTCACTTAAACTAAAGTTAGAGTGCGAAAACTAATGTGTCTTCGGACGACGACGCCGGACGACGACGACGCCAACGTCATACCAATATACGACCACAAAAATTTTTTGCGGTCGTATAAAAAGGAGTTCTTAATTAAGAAATAAATTGATTCGCTGAGAGCAGCTGGATACACCCGCAAAGGTACTACCCTAAATAGCTGGGGCAAAAATGGACACAATATTCAAGCTTGATACAGGTCTGAATTTGGATTGTAATTAAATATTTGACATATTATAGTTTCTGAATAAATGTAGTCAATGAACTTGAAATCGGTTATATGAATTGAATTTATATTCAATTAAAGATTTCTTGCTGTTGTGCAATACACTGTGCTGTTGTGCAATACTTAATAAATCTGTTGCCAGACTATAAACAAATAAAGTTCAATTTCTTCTCAATGTCATATTTGAAATTTATGAAAATCAATAGGGAGATTACATCAATAGCTATAAATAATTCACCAAAGTTTCATGTGAACTGCTTAAAGCAATTTTGAGTTGTTGTCCAAAAACTGGAAAATCCCCCCTTTTTTAATGAATAAAACCCCATAACTCAGAAATGTAAAATCTAAAATTTATAAAATTCTAAAGGGAGCTTACGGATTGATAATTTAGTCTTAGATGCAAGATTTTTTTATCAGTTGTTATTGGCTTTGAACTAGCTGTCAGTAACTGCGAGTACTCTCAGATTTGTACTTAGTGTCTTTTTGTTGTTTGGATGTACAACTACCCAACCACGTCCACTTGTATTTGTATTTATCCATCTGATGAGTTTAGCCTCTTTCAACTGATTTTTATAGTTCTTTCTTATATTGTACTGTTACACCACTGTCCCAGGTTAGGGGGAGGGTTGGGATCCTGCTAACATGTTTAAGCCCGCCACATTCTGTATGTACATGTATGTGCCTGTCCCAAGTCAGGAGCCTATAAAAGTGTAATTCAGTGGTTGTCGTTTGTTTATGTGTTGCATATTTGTTCATTTTTTTACATAAAATAGGCCGTTAGATTTCTTGTTTGAATTGTTTTACATTGTCATTTCTGGGCCTTTTATAGCTGACTGTGCAGTATGGGCTTTGCTCATTGTTGAAGGCCGTACTGTGACCTATAGCTGTTAGTTTCTGTGTCATTTGGTCTCTTGTGCATGTGTGGAGAGTTGTCTCATTGGCAATCATACCACATCTTCTTTTTTATATTTACATCAACAGATATAAAAAATTCACCAAAGTCAAGGTGAGACAACAAAACTTAGTTGTAAGATCTCTGAAATTTTTTACAGGGTACGAGTTTTTCTCATTGTTGGAGATTGTACGGTGACAGTAACACCTGTAACTGCTTAAACCCATTTCTTATGCACTTTAGTTTGATAAACTCACTGAATATCATACCACATCTCCTTATTTTTATATGCATTACAATTTACATGTGCATGTAATTGTAAATATATATATATCAGAACAAAATTCATTGCGTCACTTTTATTTATGCATCCTTTGGCACAATACAAGTTCTAAAATTACACAACATAAAACAATTAAATGTTATTTCAGATGAAAGTTTTGTTTCAGTTCCATTCATAGGATTTATTAGAATTTTGTATGTTTTGCCAAGTCCAATTATTCGCTCTATGTGACATAGAGACATAGTTGACTAAACCACCAGGTGTTGAACATTCAAGAATTTTCAGTGTTTCTGTTTTTATTTGATGAAAAGGTTGCCTGAGCTCTAGGAGCTTTAGGTTTTATCACAGGATATTCTGTGCTGTCAATAATAATCCAAGTCGTAGGAAACTTTAATTTGAAGTTGGATGGTGAAAAATACCGGACGATTCAGTCTCTTGCTTGGTCCAGGAAAATAGGCTGGGAATTGCAGTAGACTTAAGTCTCTGTATGGTGGGTTTGCGCCCTGAAAAAGGTTATAAAACATTATAGTTTTTTTATAATTAAATGAACTTCCATTAGCAATGTATACTTTGTACTACCTGGCGAAATATTAACTAGATTTATTCATTACAATCTGGATAAAACTATGTTTGCCTGATTCAATGTATGTTATGTAAATCCAAAGGACAAACAATGAGAGACTTATGCAACAAACGTACATTGTTTGTACCTAAATAACTATAATATAGATGAGAGCATGTCATTGTTTTGTTCCTGTTAACATTGTCATTGATATTTTTCAAGAAAGTCTATGAGGCATAGCTTATGCATTCCTGTCATTACTACATTAGCATAATTACTGCTAAAAATTAAAATAATTCTCAGTATGATATACCTCTTGTAAGAAATCATTATAATTGTAGCAATCACCAAAAAATCTCAAACAGATCACATTGAATCGTAATCCAAAAAATTATGACGTCTTGAATTACCCACCCCCTTTTATTCTAAAACGATAATTGCGGTTGTAAACAGACTTTGGTTTATTCGCATGGAGATTACATATATAACTATATATTTCACAAAGAAAATAGAGTTTTACTACGAATAGTTTCCTGCACGTAGTCTTTTTCAGTAAAACGTGCCTTGCAAACAACAGCTGATTGAGATGGACTCCACGATATCATCGTGTTCTCGTCCAATCTGCGTATGGGCCATGGCGTTGATCCAACTTTTCCTTCTTTTTAAGTCATTTGGAAATGCATGTCCTCCTCTTAAATGACATCCAGGTACACAACAACAAGTACTTGGCATCGTTAATTAAAAATATAACTGAAATAGTTGCACAGTGCAGAAACCGGAAGAAGAGGAACAGGATCCGCTACCACGGCGCCACCTATTCAGGAACGATAATTTGCTACTTTATATAACTGCAAAAATAACGTTAGACAGGTTCACGTGCATAAACAGAAATGCGCTTTAAATTGTATAATATAATTCATGTTCAGTCGACCTTTAATTATTATATCAACGACTGAAATGATTTCTAAACATCTAGATTGCAGATAACACTCGAAATTAACCCGAGCTCTTTCCACACGGAATTCAAATAATTCTAGTTTGTCAATCGGTTGACTGCTTATAATGCAAAATACTAATATATCAAAAGTTTTTAAAACTAACAAAACACAATGATCGTTTCTCTATTTCCCAATGTAAATGAAATGAAACAAAAAACATTTTATATCGCAATAAGAAGAGGAGAGAATTCAACATTTCCGGATCTACTTGGAGTCTAATGACCCCCCACGTAGATAAGTTGGATATCGCGGAAGGAAGGATTAACCTGGCAACTAGAAAGGCATTAAAGCACTGCCTTTAAAAAACCAATTACAGTATAGTATATAATGTTTACCTATTTCCAAATTTCAAGATATCAACATAAATGCAATAATTGACTTACCAATTTTCAAATCAAGGTAATTTTCAATGACTATTCCAAAAGATGCACCAAGTTCTTTGGTTCCGACTTTTTTCTGCCAGTCTACACTAGGTGAAGATAGTTTGAACTCTAATCCATCCCAGAATCCTCTCTTGTGTCTTTGGTGACCCTGAAGCTCAATTATGTCTGATGCATAAGGATCAACTATGCTGCTACCATTGTCTGAATATCTACAAAAATGACAAAAAAATCATATTCAAATGAAACATTAGTTGAACTGTAAATTCAGAAATTATTGCAAGGATTCTAATAATGCGAATAATGCGACTGGGTGAGCATCGCAATAATAACAACTTGTAGTATGAAATCTGATCCATATATCTTAATGCACATTTTCCTGAAATCGTAATAATAAATCTCACACATTTTTGTTCATTCTTCAAAAATCGCAATAATAGATGCACGCAGTAATTTATGAATTTACAGTAACTCTCATTTTGATTTGATAAAAACCTCAAATTTTAGGGCATCAATTCCATGATTGATGGTCTGAAATTGTGTGTTTGCTAGATCAGATGCCATGTGACTGAATTTCAGTGTATAATTCATCTTTTCAGATGCAATATAATGAAGATAACAGTATTGTAATTGAAGATTGCAGACATCATTTTTTTATTTGATGGTTAGAAATATCCGTTTACTAGCTGTGCCAATATGTATGTAAATTTAATTTGTGAACAACAAATCATCTCTTGATGCCTGAAAATCTTAAGATACAATACTGTTATCTTCTAATTGTATTAAAAAAGAAGGTATCTATACCCAGGTACTTTTGATTTGACAGGATGTGACAATTGAACTAGTAGGCAAACATAGTCAAAGTTAACCCGGATTAAATAAACTGTTGACACAGAGATATGTTTTGCCTTTTTGTTAATTTGATAGTAAAATGCAAATGTTGAAATTAAAATAGCAATACTTTAAACATGTAAGTTATGCAAAATATTCAAAGTCAATGAATCATGACTAAAGGTACAGGGCCAAACAATCTCCATGGAAATGAGATGTGCCAATGCTAATACAACTGCATACCAAATATCATTGACCTATCACTAGTGGTTACACATTAACTGACCTCACCACAAACTAATATATGTAAACTAAGCAAAAATTTTCAAAGTTAATAGACCATGACTGAGGGGGCGGGGGTCAAATAATCTCCATGGAAATGAGATGTGACAATGCTAATACAAATGCATACCAAATATCATTGACCTACCACTAGTGGTTCTCCATAAACTGACCTATTCACAAACTAATACACTGTTGACACCGCTGACGCCAACGCCAGAAACATCATACCTATGTCTTGCTTTTTTACTCCGTCAAAGAGAGACAAAAACCATACAGGATGAAGTATGGATGAGTCCAATTTTATCTCATAATATATTGTCATACTCTCATAGATGCATCTGCAAACCAAGATATTATTCTATGAAATGGAGTTGTGGGGTATACATCGATGAATCAGATAACAATGAGATATCATTGATCACAAAAAATCAACAACATCTACATGTCAACCAGTTTCTGAGGATTGATTGGCTGTCAGAGAGTATGTCTCAAGGTAATGCCGAGGTTATATGCTCTCCAATTTCGTATTTGATTTGGCATTTCAACTGTTTTGATTCGAGCGTCACTGATGAGTCTTATGTAGACAAAAAACGTGTCTGGCATAAAAAATTATAGGCCTGGTATCTTTTGAGCTCTTATATCAATAATCTCCATAAAATTCAATCTGGAAAATTAAAAAGAAAATTCAGGGAATTTTCATAAATAGCCAATGAATTTGTTGTTATATGCTATATATAGTTCATTGGAGTAAAAAGTTACATAATTTCTTTTCATATCATAGGTTTAACAAGAAGACATAATTTGCACACACAGATGAATTATGTTCTATGACTTTTTGGTGCTAAATTTGACCATAAAGTCTTAAAAAATGCTTTAATTATGTAGTTTATAAGATAAAACTGAAAATAGAAATTCATTAGCTTGTTCAAAGAGACAAATGCACGGAACACAATCTTTGTAAAATTCATAGTAATGTGCAAATTAAGATATCTGAATTCATACATGGAGGATGATGAATATGACAAAAAGAATGCTGACCCTACAGTGTACCTGCTATTTAGAGGAGAAATAGTTTTTGATTTTGGATGTGCTTGATACAATAACAAGGCCTCATATCGAACATTTTCATCTTCATCATATAAAGCTGTTTTCAGCATGGTATCAGCTGTCTGAAAAGAAATATGTACTACTATACAATAACTAAAAGATTTAGCATGGTAATGTTCAAGTGTAATTTTACCTGGAATAAAATAAACAATTAACATAAAAGACCTAATGAAACACAACCTACTAGATATTTTCAACAATACCTGAATATAACAAAAGATGTTTGGAGTGCATAGCCTGTGGCAAAGTGAGCTTAAAAGTGGTAAATTTCACAAAGATTTTAACAGAAATATTACTAATAAAGCAAAGTTTAGTTATTGTCCTTGATTTTTCTTTATTTGACTGCTTAATTGATTTCTTGTTTAACCATTGGATCTTGTATTTTTGAGAGATTACCATAAATAAGCTATCAAATTTTAGCTCATCGAATATGAAAATAGACAAACACATTTTTTGAAATATTAGAAATTAGATTATGATCTGGTAAGAAACATAAGAAATACTGCCATAAGAAACATTAGAAATACTGCCATGAATGAACAACAATTTCTTTGCAAAATACTGAAACAATATAAACATTTAGGACTTCCAATAGCACATTATGATTAAACTAATTATCCCATAGCTTGCCAGAAAAATATTTATTAAAATAGGCCGCATAAATTGGATGAACTTCATCATAGTTAAAGTTCTTATTTCAAAACAATAAAGACATTTAATATCGTAAATGTGTGTTTTTTTAAATGTTTGTTTCTTTTTAAATCAATAAAAACTTTATTTACAAATATGTATGTAGGGACATAATTTTTTAATGGTATACATTTAATGACTGAATCAAAAACAAAACACCTCAGAACATGAAATTCTGGCAGCTGCATAACCATAAATTTCTAAAACAACAGAATTGTACATAAACAATGAAAAGAGGCATCCATGAATGCTTTCAATATTAGAAAATACTATATTTACCATCTCATGTTCATATTTTCTAAGAGCATTAAGTCCGGCCCGTTTTATCCATGGAGAATTTGTTGTATTGACATGAGAAACAATATAATCGTATGAAGAGTCCAATCCAGCATTGCCCAAAGTTTCTAGAAGAACAACGTTCCAGTGATCATGTACTTCCTGTTGTTTTGTTGTTTGTGTGGCACGTTTTACTTTGTAGCTCCAAGGATCTATGCAATGGATGAAGAAGTAATAATTAACCTTTATAAAAAAGATTGTTTTGGATTAAAATATTTTGTCTTTTCATTCTAATAACTATTTCTCTAGGAAAGCAGTATAAAAGAAAAGTAGTAACTTGATAATTAAGTATTCAATCTTTTATAAAATATTGGAACAGATCAAGAAAATAATTGCCACTTAAGTTGAAAATATGTTTCTATATTATATAAGAGTTCATCAGAAATATTCCATCATACCAAAAATTATATGCCAACACAAAGTAAAATCTGGTCATAGGTCAGTCAATTTTATTTTACAATGAAGAAGTACATAGTATATATTTGAAAACCAATAATAAATCATAGGAATGGTGCAAGATGAAAGAGGAACAGAAAAACAAAATAGCAATATAAACTTCTTACCATGAAGCCCTAATTTCTGATGGACTTTTTCTATGATTTCTGATGCAGTTTTCTGATCTCCAGCTTTGGAAAGTTGATTAACCACAATACCAAGTGTAAGTAATGCCCTCTGATACAGCTTTCCAGTGTACAATGACTGTGGAAACTTATTTCTATTGAAGCATAGATCTTCAATGGCAAGTAATACACTCTGAAGGTAGAAAACATAGAAATTAATAATAACAAATGTTGCCTACTTATATATATCTATATAAAATTAATTGTAAAATATTGTTTTTCCAGTTTTTGAAATACAACCATTTTATATATGAAGTATATTTTCCTCATTTGTGTTAAATGATTGATTGATTGATTGATGTTTGTTCCTAACCACATCAGTGCAAAAGGTAGCAAGTTGTGTTAAATACAAATTAATACAAATTGACCATCTTTATCACTACTGCCCTATAAATTACTAGACATTTGGACTAGCAACACATGAATTTTGATATTCAAAGAAAAGAAGAGCACACATTTGTTCAAAGCATATCAAATTCTAAATTATCCCTGTAAATCAATTCTATATGAATTCCTTTAATTCATTCAAATAGCAAATGCTAAGGTAAATTTATATCTTGTCATTTTGAAAATGTCAAATACCTCAGTCTTTGGAAACTCAACTCCCATTAAATTAGTAGCTTTAAGAACCTTTTCAATTGATTGATTCAATATTTAGTGTTTACAAAGCCACTTTCAGCACAATTAGCTATTTTATGGTGGCCAGTTTTTATTGGCAGAGTAATTAGCCTTAATGCCCAGAGAGAACCACGACCTTCGGCAGGAAAACTGGCAATCATAGTCAATTAAGACACACCTGCAAGTGCTTGGTTTGAACTCACAACCCCTTGTTGACAGGCTAGTGGTACAATAGATGAACTACTTAAACCAAACGGTCACCTAGGCCCCTTGAGAAGAATCCATTCAACAACTCTTTATGAGGTTTATGTGACTTTGATAAGCAAATTTACTGATCCTTCTGTGCATTCTAAAGTTTTCCACTGGAAGTCAAAATCCCAACTTTTCCGAACCTTCTAATTAATTTATTATTGACCTAGCTCTCAGCCTGAATATGCCTGTAGCATTTGTTATTGATATTAAGCAACTGATAAAAAACTTTTATATTTTTCATCAAGATATTAATTTAAGTACTGTAAACCTATTTCAGTTCACAAAACTATCTACTAAAACATAAAATTATGGAAATGTTAGTGTTTTTTCTCCTTATTATCTAATCAATAAATCAATAAATATAACAAAAATCTGCTATACTACCTGATGAGGCGGTTTTCTTAAAGTAGGTATATGTGACAACAGTCTCATAATAAATACAGGTTTTGGTTCTTCAGAGTAAATGATGAACTTGGCTAACAATATTTGACTTAGATCTGTAGACAAACTGGCAAATGCATCTATCATAATCTCTGTTTCCTCTTGGTATCTCACCAAACTAAAATACAAAAATGTTATACTTCAATAAACTGTTTTTTAAGTATATTAAACTTTATAAATTTGGTAGTTATCAGAGAATTGATGATCTAAAGACAGTTATAAGTTAATGGTTCATCTTAAAGACCACAATGTTTCATAATTTAATTAATTATAATATAATTATAATATAATTATATGCAAATAACATATGTTAAAGTTGATGTCATAAATTCTGTTATTTGTTCATACAATTTGTAAAAATTTGTTTTTATTTACAGCTTGTATTATGGTGTGGGCTGTTCAAGAATTCAAGAAAACTGTTTTTTTTTTTTAATCTTTAGCTGAACTTCTGTTGAGCTGAACTTCTGATGTTCCGTCTTGATGAAATTGAACTCTAAAATTCTTTGAGGTAGTCATTTAGCCTTTAACATTGCAAAATATTAATGTTTACACATTTATTTGTACTGATATCCAATTCTGAACTAAATGTATGGTTTACATCACTTTATAGTTTAAACAGCACGACAATATTCAAAAATATATCCAACTTTTTAACACTCACATTTTTAAATGTTCTGTAAAATACTGTTGGACTTGCTTTTCCTGTTGTGCTATTTATAAAACTTACCAAAAAAACATTACCTGCATCTATTACTACCAAGTAAACTCTTAACAGAAGGGACTTTCTTTTTTTAACCCCTTTTAATGTTTTAAGAAACTGCCTTCTTGTAAAACTTACAAAGGAAAATGATGTTTTATTTTTTTCAGTAAGTGTGCACATTTATGATGTTTGAAACGTACTTAGGTTTAATAAGGACAAAATATTCTTTTGCCAGTTCTTTTAAGTCATCATCCGGTAACAATGTTAAAGCTTCTAGCATACTGTGGAAACATGAGACAACTTCAGGGGATCCTGCAAAACAATTTCAGATAGGTTTATTGTAAATTGCTTAATTCAAATTTTACAAAAGTTATGTGTTATATAAAAGAAGTAAAAAGCAAGGACTGCCAACTGATGATCCCTAACTGCACATTTATTGAGAGAAAATAATTTTATTGCAAGGGTTTAAACTAATAGTATTCTTGGATTGGCAAATAAACATGAACTAATATTGCTAATTTTTCACCAGCAAAAATGTTAAAATTCATAGTGGGGTACCATATATGGAATACAATTTTAAGAAAACAATTTTTTTAGAACATTGACCTTGACTTTTGAGTTGTTGACCCAAAAATTGATAGGCTTCTTCCCATCTGTATAAGTTGCATTATGATCAAGCAATGGAAACTCAAGCTACCATCCTGAAACATTTTTTTCTATTTTGTTCAATTTTTTGTAACAGTGACCTTGACCTTTGAACCCAACATTTATACACTTCTTCCCCTTCTCTATATCTCCACTCTAGATCTGTAAAGAGCCATTCCAATCAAGTAAAGAAACTTAAGTTACAATAAAAAAAAATTCGCCCAAGTTTTCTATTTTTAGTAACAGTGACCTTGACTTTTGAACCCAAATGAATAAACTTCTTCCCCTCTCCTATATCTGCCGTATTTCCATTTGTTTTTTACACATGAATGGACAGATGGATCAGTTCAAAAAATTTGTGACAGAAAAAGGCATCACCCAACTGCCTATCTTACAGAACTGATTTTCTAAAAATGTTACTAGAATATTTTCATATGCCTACTTCAATTAAGATGTGACATTCACTTGAGTTAAAAATATTCTCTATAAAACATTATTTTATGCATGTACATAGTCAGGCTATCTTGTCCATGTGTTGTTCATTATTGTTTTTCTTTGGATGTCTGGGGTTTTTTATGGAGTCAGGTGTTGTTGGTTGACATGTTTTATTAGTAATCTTTGGAAACAAGAATAATGTGAAAATTCCAAGAAGTATGACCAAAGTAATCACTGAAACTTAAATGCATGGATGCTTATAGAACCATGTATCAATGTTATATTATAAAAATATCTTCAAAAATACACCCAATCAGGTAAAATAAAATATTCATACTGCATCGAAATTAAATAAAATTCAAAGATTTTATTGTTTAAATATTCAAACAAAGGGATTGGATAAAGGCTCAGCCTATATAAATCCTTTCCCATACATGATGGATAGAATAATAATTGGCTTTTACATATAACGTTGATTCATACATCATATAGTCTTATAGTCAGGAGAGGGAACCCTCCCTCATCTAACAATGCCTAGATTATACTTCAGAAATATTTAGTATAGTTTGGTGGACCCTCAGTCGGTACACTAGTGAATAGAATGCTCTGAGAGAGATTATATGTGTGTTTCTAAAAAACTAGAGGCTCTCAAGAACCTGTGTCGCTCACCTGATTCTACTTTGGTTTTGGAAATCATTTTAAAATAGATTGATATCGTAACAGATACCCTAATAATGAGTGAGGCCAAATTTTGTTTAATATTGGCCCTGTAATTTAATAAAAAAATCCTGGTGGCCATCTTGAACAGTAAATCAGCACCTCAGAAGAAACATTTATGCCATGTTTGGTTTCATTCCATTCAGTGCACCTCTAGAAGAAGCATTTGTATGTATTTCCAATAGGGTCTTATGTTAAAGGAAGTCCCCCCGCTGGCGGCCATTGTGGATGAAGGATCAGCTTCAAAGTAAGAACACTTAGTCAGCACCTAATAAGGAACATTCATGCCATGTTTGGTTTCAATCCATTCAGTGGTTCTCTAAAAGAAGACATTTGTATGTATTGTCCATAGGGTCCTTTGTTAAACACTGTCCCCAGCTGGTGGCCATCTTGGATGACGGATCGGCTTCAAAGTAACAACACTTGGTCAGCACTTCATAAGGAACATTCATGCCATGTCTGGTTTCATTCCATTCAGTGGTTCTCTAAAAGAAGACATTCGTATGTATTTCCCATAGGGTCCTATGTTAAACTAAGTCCCCCGCTGGCGGCCATCTTGGATGATGGATCGGCTTCAAAGTAAAAACACTTGGTCAGCACCTCAAAAGGAACATTCATGCCAGGTTTGGTTTCATTCCATTCAGTGGTTCTTTAAAAGAAGACATTTGTATGTATTTCCCATAAGGTCCTATGTTAAACTAAGTCCCCCGCTGGCGGCCATCTTGGGTGATGGATCGGCTTCAAAGTAACAACACTTGGTCAGCACCTCATAAGGAACATTTATACCATGTTTGGTTTCATTCCATTCAGTGGTTCTCTAGAAGAAGTTCAAAATGTAAAAAGTTAACAACAACGACGGACGATGATGACGACGGGCCAGGTGAGCTAAAAAATGGTAGCACTCTATTAAAGAGGAATGTATAGTGATGTTTTCATGATATTATCAGACTCACTGTGACAAAAATTATCTATCTTTATAACTTATGTACATGTTCACGCAATATCAATATATTTCAGTACAGCTATTTTTTGTATACCACCTACATTCATGCCATTTCCTTCGATATATATTTTATTTAATAAATATATATATATATTTTTTTTAAGTGTTTTTTTTAATGAGTGTGTTTAAATAACGAACTAATTATAGCGATATAATTCATATATTAGTTCAAAATAAGAAAAGTGGAATGTTCATAAATGTTAACTTTATTTGGAGCAATGAAGAACACTGGTGGTATATATAAAAGGGTGCAATATCAAAATCAGACAAGTCATTTTAAGATCATTGAAATCTTCTTGTATTTTCAATATATTGTTGTACATTTGTAAATATTTCAATATTTTCATCTATATTGAGATCTTGGTTGCCATAGAGCAGGACATCAAGATTAATATTTGAAAACTTCCTAATACTTCCAAAAAGTTCATATCTCTGTCTAGTATAGAGCGGACAAACATAAAAAAATTCCTAAGGGTTCCGCGGAACCCAGTGTCTCGCCTACTTTTGCTGTTAATCGCAGGCTCAACAAAAATTAGGAAAAAAAAAAATAAAAATATTCCTCTCTATACTATCTTTTGATTGTAAGTAGCTTCTGTCCAAGTTTGGTAAAAATCCAGGATAGTTTTTGAATCTAATAAATGTTTTAAAAACTTAAACTGCAGACTGTAATGTTAACTGGAAGAAAAACTAAGTCCATTTATAAGTAAAATACAGATAAACAGGTACAAATTTTAACAAAGTTTCCTTCTAGATACTAGCTTTTGATCATAAACAAGCTTCTGTCCAAATTTGGTACAAATCCAGGATAGTTTAAGAAAGTTATTAAAATTTTAAAAACTTTAACCACAGAGTGAATGTATTGTTTCCTGGCAGAAAAACTAAGTCCATTTATAAGTAAAATACGGAAAAAATGAAATTTTTTTTTTAACAAATTTACTTCTGGATACTATCTTATGATCATAAACAAGCTTCTGTCCAAGTTTGGTACAAATCCAGGATAGTTTAAGAAAGTTATTAAAATTTTAAAAACTTTAACCACAGAGTGAATGTAATGTTTCCTGGCAGAAAAACTAAGTCCATTTACAAGTAAAATACGGAAAAACAGGAATTTTATTTTTACAAAATTTACTTCTGGATACTATCTTATGATCATAAACAAGCTTCTGTCCAACTTTGGTAGAAATCCAGGATAGTTTAAGAAAGTTATTAAAATTTCAAAAACTTTAACCACAGAGTGAATATTTGTGGACGCCGCCGACGACGACGACAACGACGACGCCGACGGAATGTAGGATCGCTATGTCTCGCTTTTTCGACTAAAGTCGAAGGCTCGACAAAAAATGAAAGTTATCTTCAATAGGGTCACCACAAGCACATCTTGAGCTTTCAGACAAGTGGTCCATAACAAGATGCCGATTTAAGGCACTTGCCTCATTCCTAGGCTGACAATGTATAGTATTGTATTTTCGTTTACCAATGTCAAAATATGCTGGACAGTGGATAAATTTGGCAAAGCTAGCAATGCATTTAGTATCATTGTCAAGAGAATTCCATTTATCCATGATGTTTTTATAACATGAAGTGCAACATAGGGGGGTTGTAAATTCTCTCCGATGTCGTAAATTGTATTGTGTACAATTATTTGTAAATGATGTGATCTCTGCAGCTATGTATTCATGCAGGGATCTCTCCTGATAAGACTTCATGAAAATATAGTTATTTATTTTTTTGTCGTCTACTTTGGAGGGAATCCCATCCAAGTTCTTTCTATAATATTTTCCTTGAGGTTCCCTTTCTGAGACCAGTAAGTATTCGAGAAGCATCTTTTTGAACTGACTCAATAAGCTCAGATTCTTACTAACTACAGTTATCCCAAATAATATTCCCATACTCCAAAATGGGTCTGATAAAGCCAATATAGAGTTTTTCTAATGAAGCTCTGTCAATCTTATTTTTTTAGATATCTCATGATGTTTATTCCCTTGCAGGCTTTATTTTAAATTTCTCTGATATGGTCAGTCCACTTGGCATTAGATGAAAGAGTAAGGGCCAAGTGTTTATTTTTAGACATATTTCCCAAGGAAATATTATTCATATGCAATGATGTGACATCAGAATTATTGTTTCTGGTAAAATATAAAGATTTGGTCTTGGCAGCTTAAAATGTTACACCCCAGTTTGAAGACCAGTTGTGCAAAGATTCCAGATCATCATTTAGTGACTCAGTTGCAGAAATCTCATCATCAACAATACAGTACAGGCAAGTGTCATCAGCAAAAAGAAATTTTGGTGAAAGTTTGTCAGGACCTGCTGGTTTATTAATGTTAAGAATTTGGAAGTGGTCAATCACATCCTGCTCAGAGACCACTATGTCAGACAGCTCATAGGGTACCAATGGAGTAACTTGCGTTATGTCTGGTTCCGTATCGAATGTTGAAACAGAACAGAAAAATTCATTAATAGCTGTAGATTTTTCAACAGGATGTACTAAAATTTTCCCATTTAACTTGAT